GGGCGACATCCCTGCCCTATCGCCTGCCCCAGGCTGCTGTGGGCAATGCTGCACACGCTGTATTTACGGCTGCACAAGGGGTTTCATTCTACACCTTTGCTAAAGTTCCTGTGAGGTTTGGCCCCCGAGGTGACTCGTGTAACGTCTGGGCAGGAGCCCTGCGGCCGTTTGAGCCGGGGAGGAACGAACCAGAACAAACAAATCTCCGGCCCTGGTGTGAAAAGCTCCCAGCCCCACTGACCGGCGCAGGGCTGCGGCCGAAGGTGCTGACAATCTCCTCGCGCTCTGCATTGAGCTGCACTCAGGCTAGGACCCCAGAGAGCTGTGTGTACCGGGGGGGAGCAGGAGCTCACAGGCACAGCTTGGTGGTGTATTGGCAGGGAGATGCGTGTGCCGTTTGCAGTGTGTCCGTATCTGGCCGGGCACGTCTACACAGCGGCCGGGAGAGGTCATTCCCAGCGGGGACAGACAGACGGCCTGGTGCTAAAAACAGCCGCGTGGCCGCGGGAGCTCAGGCTAGTCACCGGAGTACAGCCCTGCCTGGCCCCTGGGGGCGCACTCGGCGCTAGCCTGGCCCCCCACCCCCCGCTGTGCCCACACGGCTATTGTCAGGCGGTAGCTGGAGCAGATTGAGTACGTGTCTGATGACCCGGGCTGAGCATGGCACGTCCCAGCGGCTGGGCACATCCCTTCCAGGCCGCAGGAGCTCCCCTGCGAGGTGCGAGTCTGTCACCGTCCCTGGAAACGTGTTGTGGGAGCGTCAGGGGACGGCTCAGAGCTGCCCCAGAACTTGACGCTTCCTGACTTTGTAGGGTTCATGCTGGGGGGTGGGGGTGGGGAGGGAATCACATGTGACCAGCCTTCCTATCTCTTAAACAGATTGTAGAGTTGTTTATGGGCTTTTCTGTGTCGAACAGAGGGACTGGAGGGGGGATGGGAACAGGAATGTCCCCTCTCCTGACTCACTGGGACGAGTGGGAATACGGAAGGCAGTGGGGAGGGAGGAGCCACTGGACGAAAAGAAGCTAATGGTGTTGGGGGGGTCAGTGTGTCAATCTTTACCCCCTAACTCCACCCTGCGGTGCCGGTGTCGCGGAGTGTGGGGGACTCAGGGCCCTGTACCCCCGGCTTCCTGCGATTCACCGTGACTCTCAGCCAGCCAGTAAAGCGGAAGGTTTATTTAGACGATAGGAACACAGTCCAAGACAGGTCTTGCAGGCACAGACAACAGGTCCATCTTGGGGTCCCAGGGCACCCCAGCCCCTTGGGAGGTCAGAGCCCCGTCTGCCTCCCAGCCATATCACCCGCCAACTCCTGAAAAACTCCCCCTTCAGCGACCCCTCCCACAGCCTTTGTTCAGTTTCCCGGGCAAAGGTGTCACCTGGCCTCTAACCCCTTCCTGGGTTCTCATGTTACATGCTCAGGTATTCTCCTGGTCAGTCT